GACGATGAAATGAAAGGCCCCTGGGATAGTGCTCCCTGGCACGTGCTCAGGGGCTGACCTGTATACTGCTGAACCCCCAAACCACGCACAGATACTAAGAGCACCTAGAAATACTTCTAGCAATTTGACATTTCTCCTGCGCTTCTAAAACACTGACCCAACACTGATTAATTTTGAGGTGTTTGAGTGTCTTATCTGAGTGCTTTGCTAAGTCCCAGTCAGCTCCCATAGGAAGCTAGAGAAGTATGGTGTGGAGTGAAAAAGCAGATCCACGTGTGCTTATGAGAGTGCGAGGAACACTGACCCACCTCGCTCATTGGTCCTTTCTTGGGGATGACAGGCAGGCCAGGTCTTTCAAGTTAAGGGTTTTCTGTTGTTGTTTCTTTGTTCTTCAAAACAAGGTCTCACAGTAGTTCAGGCTGGCGTCCAACCAGAGGATCACCTCAGCTTCCTGAGCGCTAGGATTACAGGCCTACGCTATCACACCTGGCTCAAGTTCAGCTCTATGCATTTATATTTTGTTTCTTGTAATGTGCATATCTTTTATCAAAATAGAAAAAAGATCACTACCATTTTAGGAAAAATTAAAAAATCCCCGCATCATGGACCTTTCCTATGGAACATCCTGGCTTATCCAGTTCACAAGAACTGGTCTGATTAGTTAGGGACAGCCCTCTCACTGTCCAGGCATGCAGGGAGCTTACAAGTTCATTCTGACCCTGCTGAATTAATTTTGGAGGGGATTTTCAAAGTAGCGGTATTTTAGGTTGTGATCAAGCCCCAAGTAAAGGAGAAGTGTTTCCATCAGTGCTTGTCTGCTTCCTCTCTACTTCTCAATGTGATTGCTACTCGTCTTCCTCTAAAAGGTATGGCTTCCGGAAGCCACCATACGTGGAGCTGAAAGCTCGGCCAAAACTGGGAGAGAGAGAAGTGACTTTAGTTCACGTGACAGACTGGATAGAGAAGAAACTGGAGCAAGAGTTTCAGGTAAGCATGCCGTGTTAGCTTGTGTTTCACACCGAGTATAACAAGCTCAGGGCAGAGTAGAGGTCCCGAGCTTCATCTCGGTCAGGATCCTCTTTTAAGAATCCAATGTGAGCCGGGCGTAGTGGCGCACGCCTGTAATCCCAGCACTCAGGAGGCTGAGGCAGGAGGATCGTTGTGAATTTGAGGCCAGCCTGGGCTAGAGTGAGCTCAAGGCCAGCCAGAACTGCATAGACCCTGTCTCCAAAAAAAAAAGACCAAAAATAAACCAGAAACCAGTGTGGTAGACATCCAGAATCCCAAAAATGGCGCCAGCCAGGACACATACTTCTTTGTTCTTCAGACCCCGAGATACACTTCCTACTCCCTTTTGCGCTCGCACCAATTAACTCCCAATACCGAGATACGACACATCACCTGCCCATGTTAACTCCACCTCTAGTCCAATCCAGTAAAAACCCATTCCCCAGCCCCCTCCTCCAAGGGTCCTTGCAATCTCCTGCAGCCCTCCCACGCTGGCAATAAAGGCTTGTTTCATCTGTCTCTTGCTCTGTCCAGTGCTAAACCTAACAGTTCAATGTCAGCCTGGGCTACAGAGTGAGCTTAAGGCCAGGCTGAACTACATAACAAGACCCTGTGTCAAAACAAAGCAAAACTCTTATCTTTTTTTCCCAAGATATACAAAGATAAATCTACTTGGAATGTGTTCTGGACATAATTTGGAAAAACTGTCAGCAATTAAGCCAGTTCTGTTCAATGAATGTTGTTTATCACTTAGGAGTAATTTCACGTATGTACAGAAAACCAAAGGCTTCTGCTTCAGAACTGGTAACATTATGTTATTATTTGTGCACTGGTGATCCCTCAACTCTTTAAATTAGTGGAGAAATGTGGGGGAAAAATTTCCATACATATTTTTAAAAATCTGTCTAAAGTCTGAAATTATCATTAGAACAAAGGAAGGATGATAAACTGACGTTAATATCTCCCTGCAGAAAGTTTTCGTCATGCCAAACATGGATGATGTTTATGTCCCTCTAATGCACTCAGCCATGGACCCCCGCTCTACTTCCTGCCTCCTGAAAGAGCCACCTGTGGAGGCTGCGGAAGCGCTGTAACGGGGGAAGAAGGGGTGCTCCCTGCTCCGTGAGGCCCGGCTGACATGCGGGGCTCGTGGCTGCCATCCGTGCTGCGGCATTGGCCTTCAGCTGTGCCGCAGCTGCCGTCTCCAAGACTGCTTCTGCCCTCTGCCTGCTGGTGCCCATTCCACGTGAGGTGTCACTCCCCGCACCCAGCGACAGGTGTCTGGATTGCCTGCCACAGAGCTTGGACTCGACAAAGGAGACTGAAGCATCGCCCCGGTGGACCCAGAAGTTACACATGATTCACACTGTGGCTTTTTGAAGTCTACCAGTTTTTGTGGCAGCAAAAAGCACATTCAGAGTGAAGCTGTACAACTGGAAGACTTCCCCTCACCTCCTGGACTCATCCAAAGCTTTTCCTCAGGCAGCTGGTGCACAATGGAACATTTTTTCACTCTACACTTTGTACACGATTGCAGCCCTCCATGCTCCAAGAATGTCAATTCAGTAACGTGTGGGGAGTGGAATTCTGTGAGCCATTGCAATGGCGGTAGATAGGCATAGCATTACTTTTTTTTTTTTAATTAAATTGTGCATTTTGGAAGCAAGTTGCCATAGAAGACACACAACTTTCAGTTGGGGTGGAGGCACTGGGATTTACGTGAACATTAGGCAAAGCCATGAGATCAAACCATCCTAAGCATCTTACCAGTGAGGTGCAGTGATCCTGGCCTCTAATCCTGATTGTTTCCTGAGGCACAAGCATAATGACAGACATTGCACACGAGGACCTTTTGTTTATCTTTAGTCCAGACAGCATGGGCCCAAAAGCCCAGATTTCTTGTGTGCTCTAGAAAGCTTCATATAGGAAGGGGAATGCTTTGTTAATCTAACTGGCTTGAGAAAGTTTTGTGGGCGGTTTTCTTTTCTGATGGCCAAAACAGAACCGCTCAACTGGTAGCTGCTTTTGAGTCAAGCCCACAAGTTCGCTTCCCATCCGACACTACAGATCTCAAAATACACGTAACCTTCCTTTCATGTTGCCAACTTAATTTTGTGCATTTGTGTCAGAATGTTTAGTTTACAAGTTTGGAGACTCTAATTGTATAATTTGCTTTGAGAAGTAAATACAGATTTTTATTGTTTAAAGCTGCATTGAATATCAAAATTACCTTGGGTAACTTTTGATAACTTACATCTGTGGACAAAGCTAATAGTGATTTTTTTTTTAAACAGCACCTTGCCTGACTTTAAAGAAATTAATATATTAAGATATATTTGAGCCCTTATTTTAATGGCACCATTAAAACATTTGACTTAAATCACTTGACCATCCCAGTCGGTGTGCTGATTTCTCCTCGTGCGAGCCCGCATGTCTTGCTCACTGCTCGTTACTGTGCGTAAGTAAAGGCGAAGGGCTGAATGCACTACTGTGTAGAGGTCACACACTTTACCCACCGCTCAGTCGAATAGTGTGCGGGGACCTAGGGTGGCTTGCATTGTTTCACAGAATAATCTCTCATGTCAAATACTAGGTAAGCATTTAAGTTATTTCTGCAGAGCCGTTTGTTAAGACAAGGACACAGTAGTGAGTGCAGAGAACTGGGCCCTCGCCTGGCAGTAGGAACATTTACTTACCTGCTGTGTGCTGAGACCAGTTGTAAGTGTAGAAAGACAAGTTACAGCAAAGCAACCGGCTTGTAGCTGGCCATTCTATAACTGAGTACCTCTCCTCCCCAGCAAACAGAACAGTGTTAAAACAGATTAGAGGCTGGGCGTGGTGGTGCGCGCCTGTTATCCAAGCACTCAGGAGGCTGAGACAGGAGGACCTTTGCAAGTTTGAGACCAGCATGCACTGCATGAGACCGTTTCCAAGACAAAAAAAAAAAAAAAAAAACTGGGTACAGTGGTACAGGCTTGCAGTTCAGCAGTCGGAGAGGCAAGATGGCTGAGTGCAAGTCTTGCCTGAACTACATAGTGAGACCCTGCCTCAAAAACACCAAGACCAAAAAAGTGATAGGTTAAAGCGTAACAGCAGGTTGAGAAGATGGGTTGACACGTTGCTTTTGGGAGAGGGGACTTGGTCGTCAGGCCGACTCCCTCTTCCCTGAAGCTTTAGCTCACTAAATGTGGCATTTACCCTAGTGAGCCTTGCTTGTCTGATCCGTCCAGGCACAGCACCGCCTCTGCCTGTGGTCAAGGCCGGCGGCCCCCGAAGGCCGCAAGGCAGCCCTGCTACATGGGGTGGGTGTCGTTTTCCTCCTCAACCTAGAGAACCAAGTTCAGACTTCAACATTTAACTAACCGGGAGCTGGAACCCACACCCTTATTGGCAGTCACCCTTTTAACCTGGGGCATTTAGTGAACACCAAAGCATCAAGGATCCCCCTCGTTTGTGCACCTCTGCCCCTCCCCCGGGCGAACTCCCGCAGAAGCCCGGATGTAGGATCTCGGGCCAGCTCGAACACCTGAACGCGTACGCAAGGGTCGCCTTCACCTTCACACCACCCCGTAACTGAGGCTAAGCTAGCTCGACAATTAGTTTCCCCGCAGTTTTTCACCAACAGATCCCGACTTCACCTTAACCAGAACTTACACCCGTACAGCTGCGGCCGCCCCCCCCCACTGCGCATGCCGCGCGCACCTCGCCAGTCTCCCCAGCACGGCAGCCACAGATCTGGCCGGCACTTCGGGGAGGCGCCGCAAACGGGCGCCCAGGCAGGTCTACCACCCGCACGGCCCGTTCCCGCCGGGGCACGGCGCGCGCTCCCGGCCGCGGCCGTGTCGCTCGCGGTTAAAAGGGCCGTCCGCGAAGGGCAGGCGGCCCCAGTTATGCGCGAGCACGTTCTCTGGCGCTGCAGCTTGACCCCCGGCGCCACGCGCAGGCGCAGCGGGCCCAAAGGCAGCGCGTCACCGACCACACAGACACCAGGCTGGGGAGCACAGCGTTTTATTGGGGGGCTTGGGAGTAGGGAGAAGCGCCGGAAAGACGCTTTAGACAAGGCGATCTGACGTCCTCGGAAGGGCGGGACCTGCAGGAACAACGGCGGCAGGTGAGCGAGGGTGGCCTCCCAGCGTCCCCTCCCCTCCGCCAAGCCCGCCACCGGCTCAGCCTCCAGTTCGCATCACCCTTGTCAGCAGTCTAACACGTGCTTTAATAGGAATGTCATCACGGCCAGCAACTGCCTCCAGCCCTACAGCCCAACACCAAAACTCGCTCACCTCTCTGGGTCCGCCGTCGCCAAAAGACCGAACCACCCGCCTGGCGTCTACTTAAAGGAGCGTAACGGAAGTAGTAGGGCGGGCTTTACCGCTCAACCAATAGTAAGCCAAAGTTCTGACCGCGTGCTGTAAAAATGATCTAATGATTGGCTGTGCTCGATAAATCCTCCAAAGTATAGAGAGGTCACCCTCCGACCATAGAGATGGGAGGCTAGGCGGAGCCACCAGTATTTTACTAATAAGAATGGCGGGTCTTCTAAGTTATTCCTAATTTATTCGTACGTTTTGATAGCTGACTTGGTTTGGGGCGGGGGGGTTGGGGTTTTTTTTTTTTTTTGTCTTCTTGAGACAGGGTCTCACTATGTACTTCATGCTGGCCTTAAGCTTACTTTGGAGCCCAGGCTGGTCTCGAACTCACAGCGATCCTCCTACGTCAACCTATCGAGTGCTGGGATTACAGACGTGCGCCACCATGCCCGGCAAGCCATCATGAGTTCTTCCCAGTCTCTCTAATCCATGATGGAGTTTTACACATGAAATTTTTACTTTTTTACTTTTTTTCTTTTCTTTTCTTTTCTTTTCTTTTTTTTTTTTTTGACTTGTAATTAGTGCATCTCTGTACTGTGCACAAAAGAAAACTTTGGAAACAGGAGACAAAGCCTGATATGTATAACATACTTTTTGCCACCAGCTAGACTAGGATCTGAGGATATAAAGGTAAACGAAATCGCCCTGGGTTCTAAGTAACCAGTAGTGGCAGAAAGAGCTTATACGATATTAGAAAGTAGACTCATCAGCCGTGCGTAATGGTGCACACCTGTCCTTCCTTCCTTCCTTCTTCTC